GTAAGTGAGGCCTGAGGTGTCTCACCCCAGCAAATTAACTTAAGAACTCTGATTACATCTCCAGAAAATACAGACTCTTCAGCAAGAGCATACTACCCTTATAACAACAAATTCTCTTTAATAGTTTACAAAGTAATATGTGGCAGGGAGAAAGGAGAATCAGAAGCTGAGAGTTTAAGGGTTTATCAGCCTGGCCATGAACCTTTGTCCTCCCCACAAATTTGAAAATTCTGTGAGATCAATACCTTTAGAAAAATGCCACAGGTTCAAAAACTTCCCTCTTAATTATGGAGTTTCTCAAGTCATTTTGTAATTAAAGTTTAAAGGCTGCCAGACATCAACAGCCATTAAACCCTTTAACTCCCATGAGTGATCAAGACAGAATTTTTCCCTTCTATATCAATGCAATATCAACCAGATAAGTGATGAGAATAAAGACAAATATCAATTTGGGGATAATTAGTTGACCCAATACTAAATTCCCTGAACTAACATTCTAAGAATTGTATGGTGGACTGTAAGGAGAATTACAAATTTGATCTGGGAGTTAAAAGGTTAAGTGGTTTAATTAGTTAAGTACATAGCAGATCAGACACACCTTAATTTGCTTTCTCTTGATAAAAGAGGGTGTTGGTAGGTTGTAAATCGCAGTTCAATTAATTAAATCGTCGATCGATTATCTCTAAAACAGCAGTTTCAGCTTACCTTAAAAAGATACGTGAGTCCATAAGCATTTGTAAAAATATCGATCCCAAAACAGGTTATATAATATTAGTACAGGGAGTTAGGAATCTAATTGAGTGCAAGGCTGTATTTAAGGACGCAGACAGAACTTGTCGCAGAGTACGTTGCTCGTTAGAGTTGAAGTCTTTCTCGAGGCCTGACCAATCTATCTCACTCTAAAACTTGCGTAATTTTCAGCCTTGAATAAAACAATGATATAAAACTGCAAACAGAAGAACTAGTACTGGTTGTGAACAAATAGGAAGTCTTAACCACTCAAATGAACAACACCGCTGGTAGTTTTATGGGTTAGCTGGGGGTGGTTCTATGTAATCTGGTGCCATGCCTGCAGCTGAAGAAGGATGCGGTGTCTCTTGTTTCATATCCCTGTACACTTGAAAGTGCATGAAGAACTCCACAGCGAACAGAGCCAAGCAGACGAAACCGAAAAAGGTGGCTGCACCTGCGGTGCTTGGACTTGTAACACAAATATGTTTTGCACACGAAGCTGTCAGCGATGAGCCAATTAAGAAACCCAAAACAGCCAGCCCACAAAGAACTAGGAATAGGACAGGATGGCGGAAAAACCACAGTAGCTTTTCCCAAAAACCAATCAGATGGAGAATTATGTCGATGAGAGCGTTTACGAACGCGGTCCATGCGACGAAATCGAAGAAGGTAAGTTTTCCAACACAACCGCATCCATACCCACTGCCATTAATGTAAATCCACGAATTAACTGATGAGCCACAGGCACCAGCCAAAAGTGTAAACAACAACTCTACGCATTTTAGCCTGCCTAACCATGTCTTGGTGATGAAGTCTGGCGAAAACTCAAAAAAACTATCCCCTTGTTGTTCCGCCATGTTACTCTTAACGGAAGTTGTTATGGGCAAGATCCTGTAACACAGGCAGCCCACACTTGGGGCATGACTTATTTCAGATTTTCATTATCATGATAATTCAACCATAAAGACAAGAATATAACAGCGAGTGAACAAGAGTGGGTTTTTTTCAGTTAAACTTAAATAAAAATTACAGACTTGAATGATCTTCACCCATCGATCAATAATGCTGTCACGCGATGTTTGTGATGTATAGTGCAACAGGGAAGTCTTACGCCTTCAGTCAACGTTCATAGGTGGTTTCACAATCTGGATTGCCCTAATATTCAACATTTCTTATAACCAAGCTCAACAATTGCAAGGAAAATTCCATCAGAAATAATATAAACCCCATCCACACCAGCAAAATAATTGTTCTGTTACACCGGGTTTAACTGAATGAAACTTAGAAACAGAAAATTGAAGAACTGAATTTTCCATAGGTTTCAAGAAATCACTACTTTGAAGTTTCAGTGTGCTAAATTTGAAGTCGACAAAGATCGGTTGAAGCAGTTTCTATAAAGAAAAGAATTTTAAACTCTCCCGTTAATAACAAAACATCTCTAAAACATGTTAAAGTTTTGTTGTGAATGGGGTATAAAACACTCAAAATTTAGAATACTGGGGGATTCCATGAGCATTCCATTAGAGGGCTTAATCTGATCTTGATTACTACAAGCTTTTGTAGTTTTCTTTTTTTTTTAAGGGGGTTATGTGGTTGAGTTGTTAGTGTGCTAGGCTCTAGCAGTCCTCATTGTGGCTCTCTCTACTCAGGAGTATAAATAAATACTGGCACAGCAAAATACCAAAGCCTTTACCAGACTTGCAATAGATGAAGAGGAGTGTGTCAGCAAAAATCAGCATGTTTTTGTCCAATGGGAGACTTATCTAGAGGTAGTCAAACTTCCTAAATATCACAATTGTAATTATATTGTAATTAAAATTTTATGATTTTTTTTTAACAGATGTTGATGAAATGCCACAATTCCCTGTTTCAAGACCATGATTTCCTCATCATGAGCAGTAAAATTATTTTTTTACTGGTGATATTATCAGTGTTGTTATGGTAAAAGGTATATCTACATGACAGTTTCACATTTCATGAAAGGGTTTTACTACATTCACAAATATCACTAAGATTGAGTTCAACTTTTTTAATAGAAAACATTACTTGTTATGAGAACTGCTTTTCTTAATTCTTCATTTCAGAGGTTGAAAAAGCTTTTCTGCAAGCTGAGTTTTCAAGCAGGAGATCTCTGCATTCAGTGTCCTCACAATGTGTCAACATTTTCTTTAATTAAAATATGCAATCAATATATTAATAATACACAGATCATCGCATGTCCACTTCTGAACAGGAATTTACTTTCTCAGATTGATATCTCTCACTTGCTCTCCTTTTTCAGATGCAAGATATTATCAACACTCAATTGTTGAACATTCCAATCCTACATCCAGCCCACAGAGAAATTGGCCCTGAATAGTAAAGCATTTTTTCCCTCTTTATACCCTTTCCTTCTTAAGATCTCATAAGTAATTCTCTTTAATGCATGTCATACAAGTCTTATAATGTTAGTTCAGAGAATTTGTTATTGGATCAACTAATAATCCCCCTTGATATTTTTCTGTTGTTGTCATCACTTGACTGTCTGCTTGATATTGTAAGGCGAAATTCTGCCTTAGTCACTCATGGGAATTGGAAGGGTTAATCATCTTTTTCATTTGGGGAGTGGAACAAAGATGTATATTCCTAAGCAATTGCTTTGTAAACCTTACCTTACACCTATCTTTCTGCTTGTCTTCACAAGAAAACTTACCAGACTTTGCAGGATAATTTCAGAGCTCTGATTAAGGGCTAATGCTTGAAATGCCTGCAAAAAACTCTTTACAGTGACCAATTTACAATAACAACTCAGTTGAAAAGACTGGTTTGTCTTTCAATACCTCCACTAATGCAGCACCACAGTTGCTTAAGAAAATTCCCCCCTTCTTCCCCAACTTAGGTTCTTGTTCAATTTCACCTGGAATTTTTGTGCTTAAGGATGTGCATCTTTAAATTGGTGAATAAAATTCTTGTCAGAAAATTCCAGCACAATTTCAGAATTCCAATTAAAGTTTTGTAAGAGAGCAGATTTAATCACACTCTCTACATTTTATTTATTTGTCGTGAAAATTGGTATTACATGTAACACTACTATATATTGAATTTATACTCTTCATAACAGCACTGCACGAATGGATAGATCATTGATTGATTGTTTCCGAGACAGAAATTTTCCTCACCATAACAAGAAAAGAGAAATAGAAATAAAGCAATACCGGAAAAATCGATCACGCCAGCAGCTAAAGTAAGATCTAAAGGGAGCTCGAGGTTTACAAAAATGGCGAAGCTGTTCATAGATTGATGAAAATTGATGTCAAGTTGATGTTAGTTATGTAAGTCTATCTTGAGTCCTAAGATATGTCTTCTCCATTGCTCTTTCTTACTAAATGTCTAAGCTAAATGTCAAATGTGCATAATGATCTTAGCGGAAATGTCCACGTAAACAGCACTCGATCACTCAAATAACTCCAGGTGCCTCAGAGTAAGGTGGTGGTGGCTCTTCAAAATCTGGAGCTTTGCCTCCGCTTGAAGATTGATGCTGTGCTTCTTGCTGCATACTCCTGTACTTCTGAAAGTGTATGCAGCACTCCGCAGCGAACAAAGCCAAGCAGGCGAAACCGAAAAAAGCAGCTGCTCCCGCTGTGCCAGGATTGCTTACACAGGTTTGTGTTGCACAAGAAGCGGCGAGGGACGCTCCGATCAAAAAACCCACAACAGCCAGTCCACACAAGATTAGGTACAAAGCAGGATGGCGGAACCACCAAACAAGCCTTTGCCACAAACCAGCAAGATGTATAATCATGTCGATTAACGCGTTGATGAAAGCAGTCCATGCGATGAAGTTGGAGAAACTTACTTTACTACTACAATTGCAACCTATCCACGATAAAACGCCTGCTCCACACGCACCAGCGAGAAGAGAAAATATCACCTCTGCACATTTTAGCCGGCCTAACCAAGTCTTGGTGATATAGTCTAGGGTAAACTGTATAAAACCGTCCCCTCTCTGATCCGCCATGTTGACATTCAAGAGACAGATATTGAAGGTTTGACAGCGCATTCTCAATGCGATACAGGCCATATGTCACCCAAACCCACCCCCTATGACGACACAGGATGCAGGATTTCAGCCAAGGGAGAAAAAGCCTCATCAGTCGAGGTGAGTTTAAGTTTTCTCCGATCTTAACTTAAAAGAAACTCACGACTTCCATAATTTTCCTCCACAATTCAACCTCCCTCTTAAAACACAAGCTGTCACGCGATGTTCCTACCGCCCTGTAGTGCAGGGGAGTGCGTGCCACATTTGGTTTTACCCACAGTTAACAATAAACTGAAATTTCACTTTCTAGATTACCGTTGATTCACATGGAGCAGAGGAATTCAATTTCAACTCATTTTCAATTAAATTCATCGCGCAATTGCGGCGCGACTTGATTTCGCCGGTTGACAATAATTCCATGCAACGCCTTTTGGAATCCTACCAACTGTGAAGCCACAACAGTGGTCGGCATGGAAACTCTACTATACGAAGTACGGTCGGGAAGTGATGCTTTCGGAACGAAGCGTTAAGTTTTTGTCAGCGAAAAAAGCGACAAGGGCTGATACGAGGTGAACCTTTAACACTCTAAAATCAGTATGTTTACTCTACATACTATTTCCTGAGGGGCTGACGAGGAGAATTTGTTTCACAATCAAGAACTTCTTTGGTTTCTGATCATTTCATTTATTCTCATGACCTTGACATGTGATTCAGGGATGATACTGCAAGAGGAAATTAGATGCTAGTCACTCATGGGCATCAAAGCTTTGTACCTATTAAGACCTTATTTGAGTAACATTGAAATTTTAAGATCTCAAGTGATCACAGGAAGCTTGCATGTGAGACTGTGTGTAGTGCATGATTTACCTTGGTTTGGGATTTAATTAATTGAAAAATGCTTCATTACTTTCAATACATCAGTGCATACATAAACCTCTGGTTACTACACAGAATTTCATCTTTGAGCAAAGGCAATACACACTCTGATGGTACAGATAAAGCTAGCAATTCTGCATCTTGTACTTGGCTGCTAAGTACCAAGCTGTAATTGTGTGTTTCCAGAAAATATCCATACCCCCACCACGGAGGGAATTGGAAA